ATCGTTGCTGTCGTCCGACAGCAGCGGTCGTAAGTGTCGCATGTGTCGCAGATCGATACGCACCCAATGCTGTGCGACACTTGCGATCGTTGCTGTCGTCCGACCGACTATGCGTCCGGCCTTACGATCGCATGCGTCGCACGATCGATACGCATCTACTGCTCCACACTCGAACAATCTGACTTCCAAAATACCGTGACGCGCAGTTACACATTGTTTGGGTTTGAGGTGGGGGATCGCGTCGCCTCTTCTACAATTCCGATCGATACGCATCTAATCTTTTTCGCGAACTATTATACTCTCCTATTATCCGAATCTTCCTGTCATACATATCTTCTTCGGTGTCACGTGCGCCATAATTACCGAAGTCGAGAACTATGAACGCGGTCTAAGAATGGGCTATTCTGCGGCTATAATCCCGCAGAAAAAATCAACGACAGTACTAATCTTGCTTCCACTATAAATGAATGTATCAGGCAGACCTCCACGATTCCTTCTGCGGGATTACATCCGCAGAAGACATTTAATTGTGGGAACGGTACTATCCCACAAGGCTATCTGGAGTGGCGTAAATGTCACACACACACACGTTTGTGCCAAGATCACGAATCATCTAGAGAAAAAGAAGGAAAGCATCATCGCACTATCATTACTACACCTATCGCTCTGAATCAGCTAAACGATTTTCAACGAAATGTTGTCTTTTCAAGTAGAACCCGACGCTGCCTATTGCAATTGTACTAATAAGTGAGAAGTATTGCTCCTACTATGAATGAATGCACCAGGCAGATCTCCCTCGATTAAAAGCAACACACTAAAAGTGCAGAAACTTTCACTGTCAAAAGTGGAAATAACAAACCGAGTAATAATTTTCGAAACTCCGTCTTCCGCGCTGCTTCACAGTTCTGTAAAACTTGTTTGGAGCGCGCTTTCTTTCACTCGCCGCTAAATTACACGGGAAAAAAACGCTGGACGAGTTTTTGGACGAGTCTTTCGCGCGCGCCATTTGAATTTGAGGCTCACTCCGTTCAGTTCATTGTTGAACTAGTGTTCAGTATTCCTTTTTGAGTCTAAATTCCACTAAATTCGGGAGAAAAGAGCCCGTTGCCCTTTTTAAAGTCGATGGATGGGTGCAGAAAGACATCATAAGGTGAAAAGAGAAGAGTAGGAGGGAGGTTGAAACTGCTAGGGACCGAGTCTTCCAACCTGTCAACAATTGCAAGTGGAGAAGGCCAGATTTTGAATTTGTTAACAAATTTGAAAGTTCTTTGAAGCGCGTATTTGTTGGCTTTTGCGCCGAAGTAAAACTATATGAGAGTATTAACGGTATCTGTCTGTTTCTCTGTGGCACATTAGCAGTAACATAATCTGCGGACTGTTCTGCGATTGAGCGACCCACCGACGTGAAGACGATGCTGTACGAGGGTAAGGTGACAGTGGGGGAAGGGGGAGGAGGAGGGGGGGTGGAGGTACGCCGACTTTCTATATTGCTTATCCACTGAAGGGAGGAGTTCCTCCTTCTGCTGATTGAGCCTTAGAGAAGTAGAAGCTCCTTCCTAAGGCAAGCCCTACTGTTTTCCCCGAGTTACTTCTGCTCCAGAATCGGTTTTCATCTCCACCTCTCATAGCACCGAAAAGACTATTGAACTGCATATCGTTAATATACAATTCTAGAGAAGTGAGCTCTTCAATTTAGCGAAGACACGTTTGAGTCGAAATAAAGTTGGGTCTTCCCTTTTGCATTTCCAGCAGCAACCGTTCAAACTGCTGAAGCTGTTGCTCGTCCCACAATAATTGAACCTACGCACAAAGGGTAACAGAAAGCAGTGGAAGTAATTGTGCAGGCTTCGAAAATATTAGTTATAAAGGGAATTTGGAGCTACAATTTACGTGTCCAGAAGCAAAACCTAATACAAATATGCACGTGCGTACTTAAGCCTTCGTCGCAAACTTCTTAACGCAGGCTATTACCAGAACTTGTCCTATTTTATGGTTGAGCAAGAATTTTGGTGTTTCCCTGGTTGATCGCGTCTTCTAACATCTACTTTCACTTTTCGTGCCCAGAGTTCGTGTAGGAGCTGTCATCGACATTCGACGGGATAAATATCACCGGTCCGACAATTAAATAATTGGAGTGAGCCTCTATTTCGATCGGCGCGCGCGTAAGACTCGCCCAAAAACTCGTCCAGCGTTGATAAATACCTTTTTCATTGTAGCGTACTATCCCATTCCTCCTCAGTCGGCGAACTAATGGTTATTACGACTTCAAACCAGTCGGAGTCGCCAATCTATTAGGTTGTCTCATAAACAGTGTCGCTTTTTTTCATCCAAAAAATTTTCATCTAAACCTCCATGCTTTTACATCGTGTTGTATACCATTCGAAAGAGAATTGTCTGCTCTACAAAATGCTATGTCCCACTTCCACTTTCTTCCAGGGTTTTCAAATTTTAGGCCTGCGAAATGGGAGGTCCAGCCGACAAAAATTGACCAAACCGACAACTATCTCTAACTTTATCTTTCCCTTGGGAGAAATCAATCTATGATGTACCTTCTACTTATGCATGACCTCTTCTAATCATTACACTACTAGGTTTTCCTACAAATCGCGTCGTTCAATTTCCAGAGCTGGTTTTTCAACCA